CATCCTGCAGCAGGAAAGGCCCTTGCGGTGACCGTTGCCTCTTCTTGTCTCTGCCCAGAAGCTTGTAGGGGTTGAGTAGCCTGGGGGCTAGCGGGTGGCGGGGAGCCTTAAAGCTGCCCCCAGGGAAGGAGGTACCTGGGGCTGGGCAGGCCTGAACCTGGCCCACATGCCCCTCCTCGGGTGCTCTGTCTCTGTTGGGGTGCAGCCGGCCTTCCCCAGGAACAGGCATCTGAGGGGACAGTGTCCTGCCACCAGCTTCTGGGGCTGAGTGCATGAGAGTAGCCGAATGTGTGTCTCCCTGGCTTGTCTCAGGGACCGTTGTGCTCTGAGAGTGTGCAGCCGGTGGGGCTGGAGGCGAGAAGCCCAGTCACTCCGCAGTCTAGACTGGCCAGTGCTGACCCAGTGGGGCGGACCAGGGGCTGCTCCACACATTTTTGCATGGACGGGAGCTTGGCAGGGCCCTGGGCTCCCTGTGTGGGTTCTGGGGGCAGATCTGACTGCCTTTCATCGCCATGGTTGGGAGCCTAGGTCAGCCCAGACCGAGGTGGACGAGGTCCTCAGGGCCCTTACACTCAGTCGCGCTGACTCTAGGCTGGGGCTTGGCTGGTCAGTGTCCCAGGGCTGAAGGCCACAGCCCAGTGGAGTCTGCAGTGTGGTGGTCACGGCCAGAGCCTGTCCTGTAGAGCGGGGCCAGGAGAGGTCCCTGCTGCGCTGACCCCTGGTGCAGTCTGTACCCACTCCAGAGATGTTTAGATGTCCCTCGTCCCCTGGGATCTCACACCCACACCTCACCTGGAATCCCATTTTTGTGCCAGAGATTCCCCAAACAAACACGGCCAGCCTCGACCCGTCCACTGCGTGTGTCTCGCTGGTCCTGTAGAGAGCCAGTAGGGACAGGCTCGAGGACCTCTGATATCCACACTTACCATGACAGTGATGCCGGACCAGTGCCCAGAGTGTCGCCCCTCCAGTAAGCTCTGTCACCGGGTACCCTCTGTGTGCCATGATGAGTGAGCTGGGCATGAACAGTAGCTTCTAGGAGCCTTGTCCCTGTCCCTGCAGGCCCACTCCCAGCTTTATCATTCTCTGGGGGTCTCTTCACCCCTGAAAGCATGTTTGGGGACTTGAACATCTTTTCCAGACGCCCCATGTGTGGGTGCCACCCCCTGCCGTGCATGTCCCCGGGCCCTATGGTGGGGCTGTGGCTCCGAGTTGGCTCTCCGTGGAGCTGCAGGAATGGGGACAGTCCTTTGTGCTGAGTCAGTGCTCTGGCTGGGATGGCGCCTCATGGTGCTGATGGTTCTGCTCAAGGCTCTCCCACAGTGACAGACAGTGCTGGTCAACAGGCTGGGGCCACTTGGCTTAGGCCTGTGTGTCCACAGGGTGTGAGCATTGTGAGGGAAGGGGATTCCTGGCTCATGTTCCAAGTCTTTACGCCTTGAGAATGTGCCTGGAAAAGGCTCAGGCAGGATTGGTATGGTACCTTCCAGGAGCAATGAGTCCCTGGGATGCCTGGAACAAGCACATCTCTCCAAATTAACGAGGCTGTAGTAGTTCAGACTGGGGTAGATGTGGGCCCCAAACCAGATCAAGTTGTGTTTAAGTTGAGGGATTGTGGGTGGGTGGCTCTGTGGATGGATGATGGATGATGGGTGGATGGTGGATGGTGGATGGATGGTGGATAGATGATGGATGGTGGATGGATGATGGATGGGTGATGGATGGTGGATGGATGATGGATGATGGATGGTGGATGATGGATGGATGGTAGATGGATGATGGATGGTGAATGGATGGATGATGGAAGGATGATGGATAGTGGAAGGATGATGGATGGTGGATGGATGGTGGATGGATGATGAGTAAATTGATAAGGGGAGATGGTGGATAGATTTATAGATGATAGATGAATGGTTGATGAATGATGGATGGATGGTGGCTGGATGGCAAATGGATGGTGGATGGAGGTGGATGGATGGATGGTGGATGGTGGATGGAGGTGGATGGATGGATGGTGAATGGTGGATGGAAGACAAATGGATGACAAATGGATCAATATGGGTAGATAGTGGATAGATTTATGGATGGTGGATGAATGGTGGATGGACGGATGTGGATGGATGGCGGATGATGGATGGTAGATGGATGGATGGTGGATGGATGGTGAATGGATGATGGAAGGATAGGTAAATGGCGGATAGATGACGGATGGATGTGAATGGATGGTGGATGGTGGGTGGATGGATGGATGGTGGATGGATGGATGATGGATGGTGGATGGATGGTGGATTGATGGTGGATGGATGGCAAATGGATAGATATAGGTAGATGGTGGATAGATTTATGGATGATGGATGGATGGTGGATAGTGGAAGGATAGATATGGTAATGATGGCTGGATTTATGACAGGTGGGTGTTGGGTGGACAGTGAGTTGATGATATGGATGAGAACACATATATTGCTCTACACTTGATTATAGCTGGTAATAAGTGATCCTTATTTAGTGATCAGTGAAGGAGGTAATGTGATAAGTTTTCTTTGTTGTCTTTTCTTTATTTACTAGAAAATGGCAGGGATGAAAGAATGGTGTGTGGGAGGAAGGGGTTGGGACGTTGCAGTTCTAGATGTTCTGTCCATGGCATGTTGCAGTGGGTGGGGCTGAGCCAGATGCAGCACTCTGACCTCAGTGTCCAGTTCCCAGTGAGTCCATTGCTATTTGGGACTGGCCTAGATGGACAGTCCCAGTTCCTCCCCAGGGCACAGGAGTTGGTCCTGCTGCAGGACCCAGCCTGGGGATGGTGGGGGGTAGGTGCTTGGCCAAACAGGCCTGAGTGGGCACTGTCAGGCCCTGAGGCCCCTGAAGTGTACAGGCCTGGGCATCTTCTGGGCCTGTGTGGGGCAGCCCAGGGTCCATTCAGAGCTGAGGGTGGGACGTGCCCTACGTCGCTGTTCCTGCAGTGCCTGGGGTGGTGGGGGGACAGCCCTATGTGCCCCCAGCCCAGTGCTGTTTCCAGGTCTGCAGGGGGTGCTCCTGGGCACTCAAGGCTTAGGGCTCACTCCTGGCTCTGTACTCAGGGATCACTCCTGGCAGCACTTGGGGAACAGTATGTGGTGCTGAGATCAAGCCTGGGTCAGCTGCGTGCTTGGCCCGTACTGTCCTATGTCATAGGCCGGGGTCAGGATCTCAGCTGTCCTCTGCAGTGCCACCAGCCCACAGACCGTGGGATCAGGGAGGCAGCAGGCCTGGTGTGGCCAGGTCCTTCCCTGCTGGGATGTGTACCCAGCATCCAGCACCCGCCCTCCCCTCTTGGTGCTAGGTACTGGTACCCCTAGCCCTCGGGTGGCCCACCATGCTGGCCATAGCTTCCCCTGGCTCTGGCCAAGTCTCCCTGTCCTGGTGCCCTTGCGCCCGACCACAGCTGGGTTCCAGTTGGAGACTCTGCACCAGGGCTCAGGGCTGTACCTCTGCCCCTCGGCGGTGTTCGGCCCCTGATGGGGGAGGGGCGGTGTGTGCGTGTGGACACCAGGTGTGTGTGTGGGGACAGTACTGTTGTTGGGCCGACTGTGGGGAGCGAGGACCCCCTCAGTCTGCTCACGGAGGCCTGTGGCGCCTCCGAGGCTCTGGGGAGCATCTTGGCTGAGTAAAGGAAAGGCGTGACGGAGACTGGACAGGTGATGGGCTCTGCCGTTGGGGTCTATCACTCACACATCCTCCCAGGCCCCCCTCAGCCCACATACCCTCTCTCCCAACCTGTGCCCTCTTAGGCTGTGGCTAGGACCCCTGGCTGGGCTATGATGTTCACTCCGGGCCTCGTAACTCTCCATCATGCCCCTGAGGAAGCTGGTGCGACATCCACAGAGGGACAGGGGATGTCCCAGGAAGGAGAGGCAGCCTGTGTCCCACATATTCCACATGTTCAGAGTGTTACACAGGCCAGACGGGCAAGTGGAAACTGGGCGCATAGCTGTCGCTCAGGCTCTCGGGAGAAACGTGCTCAGTGCCACCACTCGTTCTTTGAGTTGAAAAAATGTACTCTGGGTCGGGAATGACTGTGCAGTGGGTAAGGAGGGCATTTGTCTGGTACGTGGCTCACCCAGACTCAGTTCACGGCACCACATGAGTGATCCCTGAGGGCAGAGCCAGACATGAGCCCTGAGCACAGAACCAGGTCTGGCTCAGAATCCACACACATAGAAAAATGAGCCACTACTACACCCATGGGCACTTAGGAATACTCAGCGCACATGTAAATACTGACTCTCCACACCCACACTGTTGGTCCCTGTGTGCGGCCTTCTCGCTGCCTCGACTGTGCCTCCCTGGACAGCTTGGATGTCCCAGCATAGCAGGATGTACCCTGGAGAATGGCGAGCATGGCCCTCGGCTCAGGCCCTTAGTGCTGCCAGCCTGTACCCTGGAACAGCATTGGCCAAATCAGCTCCAAGGGGCAGTGCCCTCTGCCCCCGGGGGCTCCCACCGAGTGTTCCAGCCTTAGTCTCTGGGTGTTCCAGATCCCAGGAGGATGACTCGGGGTCCCAGGGAGGATGATCAGAGTGCCAGGAAGCTGTTCAAGCCCAGTGCACATGTGATATGGACGGCACATTCCTGCCCTGGGCATCCGTGTCCTGGTTTCCTTTTTGGTCCTTGTAGGGCAGCATGACTCCGGAGCAACAGTACAGTGGGCAGGACACTTGCCTTGCACGTGGCTGACCCAGGTTCAATCCCCAGCACCCCATGTGGTGCCCTGAACCCCTGGGGAGTCAGCCCTGAGCACAGAGCTAGGAGTCAGCCCTGAGCAGAGCTAGGAGTCAGCCCTGAGTGCTGCCAGGTGTGGCCAGAAATTGAAAAAGAAACAGAGTCAGGGTAGACTCAGCCACCCGCCCGCTCTTGTCCATAAGCGCCACACCCTCTGCTCGGGGGTCCAGGTCGAGGTGCCTGATGCACAGACTTGGCGTCTTTGCTCACAGCTCCTTGTCTTCTCTGCCTTCTCCTCTCAGCTGGGCGCCAACGCCCTCCTCTTCGTGGGTGTGAACATGTACGGGGTGTTTCTGCGGGTGCTGGCCGAGCGCTGCCAGCGGAGGGCGTTCCTGCAGGCGCGGAACTGCATCGAAGACCGGCTGCGGCTGGAGGATGAGAACGAGAAGCAGGTCAGTGCAGGGCTGCGCAGGGCTGGGCCACGGGGGAGGGAATGCGGAGGGTGGGGGGACGTGGTGGGAGGCACTTTGCCGGGAGCTGGGAGCCCCCTGCCTGGTCTCGTTTGCTTCTGCAGCCCCGGAAGGGTGGTCTGGACTTGTGCGCCTTGGGGGAGCACAGGGGGTGGGGCACCTGACCTGCCTGGGGTGCTCCCGCTGTCTGCCGAGTGGGGATTCTGGACATGCCAGCCAGCGGAGGGTCCTGGGCTTCCCCGTGGGTGCTGGGTGCAGGCTCTGAGTGGGGTGGGGTTCTGGCACGGGGCTGCGTTGCTGCTCTGGTGCCTTGTGGGCGCCTTGGCCTTTGCAGATGGCGGGGGCGGGCTCCCTGGAGGTGGGGACAGTGTGCAGTCCGGTGGCCTTGGCCAGGTGAGGTTCTCCAACCCTGTCGCCACCCAGCCGGGCTGAGCCAGGCCAAGGCATCTCGGACTTGGCGGGGTGCCCTGGTGGTCTTCGTTTGCAGAGCTGGGCTTGTCCCCCTGGGGAGTCTCTTCGCAGGCCCCTGGCAGTACAGTGCTCACCTTGTTGCGTGAGACCTTGAGCCTGATCCTCAGCATAGCGAAAAATAAAAATCTAAAAGCGGAATTCTCACAGGGGATTGCCCTGCCACAGAGGCAGGGGGGGATGGGGGGATGGGGGTAGGGGGGATATTATCCATGGTGGTAGAAAATGGGCACTGGTGGAGGGATGGGTATCTGATCATTGTATAATCAAACCCAAGCACAAAAAATTGTAAACCTACAACTGTACCTCATGGTGTTTCACTAATAAAAAAAAATTAAAAAAAAAAAAAGCGGAGTTCTCGTTGCGTGCCGTGCTGTGCCACTGAGTGGAGTTCAGGCAGCTGAGGCGTGGGTGAGGTCAGCCCGAATGAGGGCCCGGGGACACTGGGTGAGCACCGAGGGCCAGCGTCCGTACTGGAAACCACACCATTTCCACTGAAGAGCGCGAGGATCCTGACGCTAGCTTGTTACCAACTGGTCCTCGGAGAGGCTGTCGTTCGGGATGGATGAGGCACCTACACAGCTCCTCGTGTGGTCATGGAGGCACATTTCTGGGATGACCTGGGACGCTGGACACCCTCATGGATCCGCCTTTCCTCCCCGTCCCTCTCTCCCTCCTAATTGCTCTCCTATTGGGACTTCAGTACCTCCTGCCTGTTCAGAGCCCTTAATGGTTCCTTGTGCCTCAGACAGCTGTTGTCCTTCTTGTCCCGCTTGTCTCTCTGTGGATGTGCACCCTGACTTTCCCCAGGGGTTTGACTCTGACTCATGACAGAGAAGGCAGCCTCCTGGGAAGGGTCCTGTGTGTCCCCAGATCTCGTCCTCTTGCTTTACTTTTATTTACTTTTATTTACTAAGCATATTCCATATTTTCTGAGATAATTTTGTTGTTCTTTTACCTTTTTAAATGAAAAAATATAGAGTTTTTTTTTTATTGAATCAACACTGGTTCACAGAGTGTCAATGTTCCTGTGTTTTAGGGATTTTGTGTTAATATACTACATAGCACAGCGGGTAGGGCGTTCGCCTTACAAGTGGCCAACATGGCCGACCCGAGTTCGATTCCTCCGCCCCTCTCGGAGAGCCCGGCAAGCTACCGAGAGTATTCGATATGCCAAACACAGTAACAACAAAGTCTCCAATGGAGACGTTACTGGGCCCGCTCGAGCAAATCGACGATCAACGGGAGGGCCTTTACCTTTTACCTATACTACACCCACAGCCAAGTGCCAGCCATCCCAACACCACCTTTGCAGGACCCTTCAGCATCTTGCTGGGAATCTCAGTTTTGTCACCAGCGTCTAAAGGCTTGTTTTCATTAGACACTATTCCTTGACTTATTCACATACTGTGTAATTTCCATGCGGCTAGGGAACGCCCTGCGTGGCTCTCTCTCTCTCTCTCTCTTGCTCTCTTTTTTTCTCTCTCCTCTCTCTCTTTCTCTCTCTCTTTCTATCTCTCTTTTTCTCTTTCATTCTCTCTTTATCTCCTCTCTCTCTCTTGCTCTCGTTTTATCTCTCTTTCCTCTCTCTTTTTTTAAATTTTTATTAGTGAGACACCCTGAGGTCCAGTTGTGGACTTACAGATTTTTGTGCTTGGGTTTCAATTATACAATGATCAAATACCCATCCCTCCACCAGTGCCCATTTCCCACCACCACAGATCCCAGTATCCCTCCCACCCCCTATCCCCCCCCATCCCACCCTGTCTCTGTGGCAGGGCATTCCTCTCTGTTCTCTCTCTCTTATTGGGTGTTGTGGTTTGCAAAAGTCCTCTCTCTTTTTCTCTCTTCTTTTTCTCTTTCTCCTCTCTTTATCTCCTCTCTCTCTCTCTCTCTCTCTCTCTCTCTGGTCAAACTGGTTGGTTGATCATTTGCCATTTATTCCATTCTCCCCACATGCCTGTTCCAGTCTCACTAAGCTGCTCCCCGTTCTAGTCTCACACCGCCCCTCATTCCCGTCTCCTCCTGTCTCTCCAGCTCATCTCTTCACGTTCCCTCTCGCAGCCGCGACTCTCGTCTCTCCACACGCCTGCTCCTGCACTCTCCCCCCACATTCTTCCTCTGTCCTCCTTGCTAGTCTCTCCATCTTGCAGCCCTGGTCTCTGTCTCTCCTCTCTCTCCAGCTCCCTGCATTGGGGGTAGCACATCAACATATCAAAAGCCCTTCCTGATTGCCCATCAGGCTCAAGGGTAGAAATACCACCTAGGGGTGTTTCTCCTCTCCTTAGTCCAATAACTTAATTAACATCTTAGTTCTACTTCTTAATATTAAGTTATTTTGTTATGGACACAGTAAGAGATACATTGAGCTTGTAGGTTGGCTCTCCTGAGGACATTTTGCTAAAGATCTCAGCTACAGTGCTCAGGCCAGATTAATCATTCCTAACCCTAGCAGGGTTCGAATCTAGTTATTACTTTTTGGAATGACAGAATTTGTCCATGACCATGCTCTTAATTTATAGTTAAATATTGTGGTTCTTGGGCTGGAGCAATAGTACAGTGGCTAGGGCCTTTGCTTTACAAGTGGCCAACATGGCCGACCCGAGTTCGATTCCTCTGCCCCTCTCAGAGAGCCTGGCAAGCTACTGAGAGCATCTTGCCCGCACGGCAAAGCCTGGCAAGCTACCCGTGACGTATTCGATATGCCAAACACAGTAACAATTGTCACAATGGAGACGTTGCTGGTCCTGCTCGAGCAAATCGATGAACAATGGGAGGACAGTGACAGTGATTGTGGTACTTTGGCCTGGCCCATTTCGATGCCAGGGTAGCTCACAGCTTGCCCTGAGTCCATCCAGTCCCTCTTAGGGACCCTGCTTTAGGGGTGCTAGGAAGTAAGGGCAACTGAGGCTTAAGTCAAGAGAACAGATGCCCAGGGTGAATATCATTCAGAGTCAATTAATTCCCAAGTGACAAAAGCATAGCATTAGCTGTCTTCCTGTGTCTGTACAAAAAGGACATTGCTCTGAATTAACTATGCAAAGGACTTAAGGAGAAGAGAAAAGCAATATTTACAAGTTAACAGAACACAAAGAAAGAAGTAACAAATAAACACAGGGGAATGGGAGCACTGTGATGGGAGTAACCCAATAAACCTAAGCTCCCTGTGTCAAGGCAGAAAGGACGAGCCAATGTTATCCAACAACATACCACATGTGATCAGGACTATTTGGTATTTGGCATGTTCCTGACTTGTTTCACTCAATGTAACATCCTCTAGTTCCATCCACATTGTGCACCAGATTTGAGCAGTCCTGGATGGTGACCGGGGTCACAGTCCCAGTTGCTGTGTGAGAGCAGGCTGTGGAACTCCCGGGTCCAAGGCTGTGCGTGTCTAAGGCCTGGGCCCTGCGTTGAGGTTTCCCCAGTGGCATGCGGGATCATGGCTCTGTAGGAACCGTGAGGTTCCTTCCCCGGGGCAGAGGGGAGTGTGAGCAGCAGAGCTCCAGGGCAGGGGCCGTGTTGGTGGCTTTTGCTTTGTGGTACCTGTGGGATGTTTTCTGGCCGCAGGTTGTCAGCAGTCACGTATGAAGGCAAAAAAACAGGAGTCTTAGAATAGGCTGTGGCCCCTGGCCCCTGGAAGGCTCAGCGTTTAGCAGGATGGTGCGGCGTCTGCCCTCAAGATCTGCCACTAGGCAGAGGTGTCTGTAGTGGTGTCTCCTGGGTGCGATGTGAGGTCACTGCAGTGACTTGGGGGACTCTGACCCATCTTGGTCTCACAGTTTCTTGTCCCCTTGAGCACGGAGCTGCAGGTGGGGTGCTGGGTGTTCCGTGCTGCCTTCCAGGGCCAGCGTGTGCAGTGGAGAGGCTTTTCCCAGTGCTGCTCTGCTGCACCAGCACCTGTTTCAGGTCAAGGTTCTGCATGTTGCAAGTGCGTAGTACGCAGCAACAGCTGCCTGGTGGCCTTCCTTTCTCCTCCGCCCCTCTCAGAGAGCCCGGCAAGCTACCGAGAGTGTCTCGCCCGCACGGCAAAGCCTGGCAAGCTCCCCGTGATGCATTCGATATGCCAAACACAGTAACAATTGTCACAATGGAGACGTTCCTGGGGCCACTCGAGCAAACCGATGAACAACGGGAGGACAGTGACAGTGACAATTTTTGGTTTGGGGGGTCACACCCAGCAGTGCTCAGGACTTATTCGTGGCTCTGTGCTCAGGGTTCAGTCCTGGTGGGGTTCGGGAGGCCATGGGGCGTGCCAGAGATCAAATTGAGTCAGCTGTGTGCAGAGTGAGTGCTTCTCCTGACCTTGCTCTGCCCGATGGGCTTCCTTTTCTGGTCACCATTCCATTGGGCTCCCTCTTCCGGGAGAGCCCTGCCCCATGGCTGCCAGCGTTTCTAGCAGGAATCTGGGTGAACCAGATAGCGAAAATGCTGTGGCCGTGATTGGGGATGGTGCGGACCAAGGTTCTCCCTCCCCGTTAGCTCAGTCTCACTTTCCCTGGCCGCTCTCCGTG